TCAGATGAGCATAAATGTTCTCACTATTTGAAAGATTTTAAGTTTAAGTGCTTGGCTGCTGGTAAGATCACAGTCATGTTTTAGAAGGGGTCCAAACAAGCAGACGTACACTGTGCATTTTTAAAAGTGTGTATGTCCATTTCAGTGGCTGCTCTCAGAGCTTTGGATTCACTTTGCAGTAATAGATTCTAGAGATGTACCGATCCGATATTACGTATCGGTCCGATACTGACGTAAATCACTGGCTCGGATATCGGAGAGAAATAAGAAATGTAATCCGATCCATTAAATATCAAAAAAGCACCTCACAAAATTTGTAGCCTGGGTACCAAACCGGTATTTCATCTCCGAGGAAGTTATCCCAGAGAGAAGTAAAGCAAGTGTGTAAGTTCATCTCTGAATGTTTGTAAAGCATTCCCGCATTAAGCTTAACAACCGATATATGGAGCGACTGCCTCTTCTCTCTTCCTCCCTCTCCTGCTGCTACTTCAATCATGAAACTGATTAATGATCAGCTGATCGGCTTTTCTGTCGCGAGTCCGTCTCTCTTCTTTGTTTTTGGATCACTTTGCACCAGAAAGAGGAAACCAGCGGCTGAATAACAGCAGAACGTTTAAGCTTGATAAGCTGTTGTTAGAATTGATTTAATATTACTTTCTAGACCAGGATCTTTTTCTACGCAGCTGACGGCTGGTAACTGTGCAGGTGCGGATCTAGCAAAGTTTAGCCAGGGGGGCGATAGGGCATGAACAGGGAAAAGGGGGCACAAAGACATACTTTTCTTTCTTATTCTCATTTAAAATGTGTAGCTTTTAATAAATAATTATCTGAATCGTACACCCAAAGTTTTAATCTTATGTAAAATGTATAGAAGTCCATTACTGCATAGAGTAACTGTTAAGTCTAATATGCCCTAGTAAGCTATAGTACTTTTTCCTTTGGGAAGGTACGATCTGTGCAGTCTGCAATTCTGTTGAAGAAAGATGTTGAATCTATTTAATATTTCTTGAAAAATAATTTATTTCTGTGCATTTTTTTTCACACTGCATCAAATTAAAGTTGATTACGTCGATTAAGCATCATAGGATGGGGGGTGGTTCCCTATTTTTTATTTTTTTTGCTGGGAGTTAAACCCTATTAGTTAGGTTGCTTAATATTTCTGCTAAGTACTCTTTAAAATACCAGAATAGGGAGGATGGTGCAGGTTTAAGTTTATTAGACTGATCAGTATTGCTGAACTATTTTGGGTGCAGTGTATTTTTTACATACAGGTATAACAGAATAGCTTTAGTGTTGTTGTTTATTTAAACTTGAGTATGAACTTATACAAAATGCAGCAAGATATTAAAAAAAGTTTTATTGATTAAAAAACACACTATATTGGATTCATATCGGTATCGGCAGATATCCAAATTTATGATATCGGTATCGGTATCGGACATAAAAAAGTGGTATCGTGCCATCTCTAATAAGATACTAATCTGAAAACTTTAATCTGCATGCTATGCATGTTAACCTCTGATCTCTTGGTTGTAACCTTCTGCTTTTCTGATTTTCATTGATTTTTCACCATCAGGGCAAACTTGGCATTACCACAAGGCATATTTTACCAGTTTTTTGCTGTGGTGTCAGGATGGTTTTGATGACTTTGTTAGGTTTTCCTCCGTAGTGTCAGAGTTGGGATTTCAAACCCTAACTCTTTTTGTCTGCGTGAAGTGTCTTTAGGAAAGATGCTAAACCCCAGGCTGCCCCTTATGCTGCCAGTGGGGTGTGCTTGAGAAGTGTCCATTTACCATCTGCTGCTATTATATGCTGCTTACACAATACTGTGCAAGTTGTAGTCCCAGTATCAAAAGTAGCATTTTTTTTCTCGTACAGTACATAAACAGGGTTTTCTGTGAGCTGATGGTACCTAATTTGTCTACACTAGTGGCTCTACAAACAGCAGTGTAATTTTGACCTGAAATATTTCAGGATTATTGGATATTTTATGATGAAACCTTAATATAATCTTTCACACCCCAGAAGATCAGTCCTAAAGACTCTGATGATCTGTTAACCTTTTAGCCAGGAGCCCATAAACTTGATTTTTGGTGTTTTTGAGTTAAATTCCTCAACAACTGTGCATTGTTAATACACCAGTAGACTAAATCTAAACAAAGTTACCAGATCTAAAGAGTGTAGCCAATGTGGAAGTGCTTTACACCTCAATTCTTTCTAATGGCCAGCAGGGAGTGACTTCTCCAGTTGAATAGTTAACAGTTTAGTTTCTTGTGCCCTATGTTGACACTTTCCTGACGTGTTTTAGCTATGATCTCAATCAGTAGCTTACAGTCTTACTGAACACAACATGTTAACTTGTAAATTGCGGTCACCAAATTGATGACAGCAAATAAAAGCTTAGCAAGAAGCTTCACAACAGGGTTTGCTGCTAGCCAGCCGCTAATGTTTCAGTTGTTATGCCCATCTTTTATATACAGTCTCTGTATGACACACAGACATTCATAGTCCCCAGATAATGAATCATAATCACTTCGATGATTTTCTGACCTTTTCTTTTGCACTATAACCACATCAAAATTTTAACTAGTTTAGTAAATGAGTTTTTTACGTTGTTGACCTGGTTTAAAAATAATAGAATGTTGACGTTTTTTCAACTATATATCAACTCAGAACGTTATTATTTACACTTTTGGCATAGGGGTATCAAGCCTATTTTAATTCATGCACCATATCCAAGAGATACATTATGAAAATGGTCATATTTATGGATTCATCCACAAATATATGTTAACAGCCTAACATATTTTAAGATAAAAAGTGCAGTTTCGGTAATATATCATTGTTTTCCATATTCACTCAGACTTTTATTGTTACAAAGAAAAGTTGCTGTTGTAAATGAAAGAAACTGCTCTGTTTGTATGGCTTTTAGCTTTAACACTCTTGTTCAGATGTGGTAACACACATAGTTAATTACTTTACCCATAAGAACTGGCAATAATGCTTATGAAATTACCAGTTTGGACAACCACTCTTTAGCAGATTTATTCTTTACAACTTGGGACACAAAACTTATAAATACAGCCATCTTTATCTGCACACATTTTCATTTGAGCCCATGCAGCAGACTCTACTGGCACCTTCAGGCTGTATATTTGACATCCTTTGTTTAGTTCAAAATGATAAGAGCTGCTGCGCTGGCTGCAGACTCTTTCTATTGTTTAGATGAAATGAAATCCGATCCAATCAAAGCTCTCTGTAATTTAGATATCAGCTGAGTCGAGACGAGTTATGAAGAAGTCAAACCCCCAGTTGTTTGTTTCTTTAGTTTCCTACAACCCATCTTCACCTTGGTGGGTCCTGTTAGGGATTCTGCAGAGATGCAACGCTGCACTCTCATCCGAATCGATACCTGCAGTCGTCGCTTTTCTTGTAAATCTCAAAATATTTTTTGATTAAAAAAAAAAAAAAGATTAAGGCTGTGAGTTGTACATTATGTCGTCTATTGATCATTTTACATAATCCTTACTCCCAGTCCAAACAGTAGCTGAAGTGAAATATGATGAAGTAAGTGTGTGTGTGTATGTGTGGGCATTAGTCCAGAGCCACGTGTTTGCCTTGGTTGCCCTGGCAACAACTGCAGACAAAGTAACAGCGTCCTTGAAAGCAGCAGTGCCAAAAGAGTGAATATAGCAAAACGGAGATCCTCCGACGGATCTCCGTTTTGCATCGAGGAAATGCAGTGAAAATGTGCTCAGGTGTGTGTGACTGAGGTTTGCATTTCTGTGTATAGACTCTAGTTAAACAAAAGGATGGCTGGAACATGCAGTCCAGCTATGTGAATGTTTTTCTCTCAGAGGAAGATGTTCTTGAAGTCTTGAGCCTCCTTCTATTTCTTTATACTTTTCCAAAGAGCCAGACTTTCTTATAATTTATTAAAGTGGTCTTGAGCTATAGTTCTCCAGCCTCTCTGAAGGGCTTTCAAAGTTTTTCTTTGGACTTGGCTGACTTTTCTCTCATTTTCAAATTAGTTCTTGAAGTTGACCATTTTCAGGGAATGTTTTTCTTGATTGTTCAGCCACTTAACACCAACCAATGACTCAAAAGCAAAAATTAAAGTCACCAAACTCGATGGATGAAACAGTTGTGCCTACACATAACAATATACCGAAGAACCTTTTTGACCCTTCAGCTGATCCATCTACTATTGACTGGAATCGTCATCATAAATGGGCTCAATGGCTGTTAAGGAGCCATTCTTAAAGAAGGGTATTAGGGAGAAAAGGCTGAGCTATGCCAAATTATAGAAGGACTGGACTTACAACTACTGCAACAGGTCTTATGAACCCAAATCTTCATCGATATGCACGGAGACGGCAAAGAGAGACATGTAACAATTAGTGTCTGCAGCAAACTGTAAAACACGGTGGAGGTGTGGTTTAGGGATGCATTTCAACCAGTGGTGCTGGGAATCTTGTCAAAATTGTTGACATATATGGACAGAAAAACACACAATTGAACAGTATCAGTCTGGGATTGGCCTCCCCAGAGTTCTACTTCATTAGTAAATAGTGATTATCTCAAAATAGAGCAAAACAAAGGGCAGCTAGCATCCAAAGAAAAGCTTTGAATCTCCTTTGAGAAGCTTGGAGAACGATTCCTGAAGACTGCTTAAAGAAATTATTACATGCAAGCTTGCCTTAGAGAGCTCAGGCTATGTTGAAGAATAAAGGGGGTTCATACCAAATATTGAATTTCAACCTCATAATTGTTTAGACTTTGTGTACTGTGTTTCCATTTATGTTTGTACCTGTATTAATAAATCACTGTCCGTGTTTCTCATTTCTTAAGAGAAATGTTAATAAATAATAGTAGTTCAAAACTGTTGCACACAGTACTGCATATATTCTTTATCTCTGTATCTGTACAGTCACTAATCTCTGATATTAATGCTGTTGTGTTGTTATAAATAAATAAAGTTTGTGATTGTTTTCCTTCAGCGCTCAGGCTGACGACAGAGTCAGAGTGGAGAGGAGGGACAGCGCTGAGTTTGAGTTTGCCTCGGCAATGAACACAGTCACCTCGTTCTACTGTCACATCCAGGCGAAAGGTGTGTATGGTTGTGTCACTGCAACGCTTTTATTTTTCCTGTTACACTATGATCGCCTCAGTTACTCACATCCTGTCATTGAGAGCACAGTAGATGTGTCTGAGGAGTGGGCTCATGACTCATGGCTGTGTGTTGATGTTGCATGTTTTTATGTGTGTGTCCTCCAGGCTCTTGCTCTCTGTCGAGCGTCGCGTCCCTGGAGAGCCCAGTGATCAGCTGTCTGGGGCCGCTCATCCAGTACCTTCAAGAATTCAACTTGGAGCGAGTTCTTAGAAGTGAAAGGTACATGAAAACAAACATTCAGCAACATAGCCTGCGACTGTATTCATCCATTGTTTCCACTGAGCAGACAAAAATATAATTTTCAGGCTTTAAAATTCTGTTATCAATAATTTTTTGTAGTTTTAAAGCAAAAATTCTTAAGCTAACATTCGTTGGTTTCCATTTTGCCAGCTTTGGTTCTTTTCTTCGACTTTCGACCAATCAAGACAAGATATTTGGATATGTCACTGTAGAATCTGGGATCGTGTTGTGGATATTTTTTTGGTTCTGTTCTTTGACATTTCACATAGATACTGAAAGATCAATCGATACATTAATCTATACTGAAAATGATTGTTATTTCCTTCCCTGGTTCTGGCATTTCCTAGGGATTAACAGGTTACGTGTAACAAAAAGAATGACAGAATTGTTTTATTTTAAATCTTATTTTACATTTGATGTGAACACCAGTGTTTATACACCAGGAAAGGGAAAATAATATCTTGTATTACTTTAATCCCTGTAATAGAAACAAAAGGTCATCATGCTATATTTTTATATGAGTTTGTACTTCCTGCAGCTCCTTCCGGCGTCTGACCTGCGAGTCGGAGATTATGACTCTGAGCGCTGGCACTCTCCGAAATCTAGAAATACTCAACAATCAGGTAAATATTCACATCTGAGCTGGAAGTCTTCACCACTGATTAAACATAACAAAGGGTGATGGCTGTCTCTATGATAAATGGTTTGCACTGCACCGTACAGTATAGTCCTCTGGTGTGTAGTAATCGGTAAACGGAAACATCTGCACCAGATTTTCGTCTGGCAGGTTCAGCTATTTGAATCGCATTGGCCTGGCCATCAGCATTACACAGCGTGTAAACGTTTCCCTTTCAAAGCAATGTTGTTGGTAGTATATTTTAAAATGTTTTGATCAAACCTTTACATTGTTAGCTTAGTAATCGCATTGCAATTGGCTATCATTACACCAGGCAAAGTCAAAATTTGAAACTTGTGTGTCTTTTGCTTTGACGCTCCATTTAAATCAGTCTGTAGTTGTTATGTCTGCTGTGCAAGTTTGACTCACAACCAAGCCTCAACACCACTGCCATAGCTATTGAATAACAATACAATGCTCAAAAAGGAGCTGTAGGAACTGCCAGCATAGTCTCAGCACATGAGGCAGGGTGTTGTAAGGCCCCAGGATTAACCCGGGACCTACTGCACCAACATAAAGTCTGACAATGGGGCCAAGAATTTCATACTGAAACTTAATGGCTGTTAGGATACCATTGCTTAACCTGTAGAAGTCTGTGTCCCTCCATGGACATGACCAGCACTGACCTATCACCGGTCATCCTGAGCGATGTTATAACATTTACCACAGCTTCTCAATACCCTGGAGAAGCCGTGTCAAATCTGCTTAGGGTGAGCCTGCTGTCATTTATGGAAAACCTAGGTGCCAATTGGTGCCTGCTGATTCTTGTATTGGCAAGTGCCAATCGGGTTCCACGGTGCTGGGCAGTGAGTCACTCCCCCATTCTCTTGAGATTGTGCTGTGAGACACAGCAGACCTTCTGGCAATGACATGTATTGAAATTTAATTGACTTGATGCTACACACTTAAAATGTTTTTTTTTATACTTTTCTTAAACAATAAGATGTGATGAACATTTCCTGGATTTGGCTCATGAAACAAAAACTATACCTGATTTAAATTCGATCAATCATTGTCCCATTGTCTGACTGGAACTACTGGTCTTTTTAGATTGGTGCTTACAAATCCTGTTTTGTCGCCTTGCTTTTGCCTTATTTTCATTTAAGAGAAATTGAGATGAGGTCTAGATTGTGGTGATTGGTAAAAATAAAAAATCAATTTCCTGTGTGCGGGTGCATGATAGCTCTCCAAAGGAATAGACTTCACTGAATCCTATTGCTCACCAAATGGTACAATATTGACAGTCTAACCAATGAATATGGGGGTTGTAGGAGGAAACTTAGCAAGTTCAGAGGATGCTTTGTCTGTGCTTGAACCCTTTTTGATTGAAAACCTCTAAAAACTGGTCTGTTGTAGAGACCCAGCTATGATCTTTCAAATGAAAGGAAGACCACTTGAAAAAGCACCCCCCCCCCCCCCCCACACACACACACACACACACAAAAAAACAAAAAACAACAAAAAAGAAAAAAATAAACGGATCTTTGCTGTTCACTCAAGTTTGAGATCCAAGGTGTAACTGCAAGTGGAAGTTGATATAAGAACTCAAACCAGCGTTCCTCCCTGTCCAGGATGTGTACATCCTCATCATTGAAAGAGTGTCCACTGGCCTGTAGGTGTAAATAGACTGTGGAGTCCTGGTCTGAAGAGTTAGCTCTTCTGTGTTGCTTTACTTGAATCAACCTTTTTGTTACTCTGAGCTTTAATCACAGCTGCACATGGTCATCTGGCAGGTGTGTTGATACCTCCCAGATTTAACGACGGAAAAATCTTTTTAAGGCTATTGAGATTGTTGTTAGAAAATTAAAGATCTACAGTCAGTTATAGTTACACAAACTGTAAAAAAATGAATGGATAGTTAAGTTAAACTGACATTTCTGCCATTAAAAAAAGTCTCGTTCGGTTTACTTGTGTGTGGGTGACGACTCAAAGGTTCAGCATGACTCTGCTGCTACGGCATTTGCGTCACGTGTCACATATGGAGTTCAAGATCAGCTCAAGCCTCCTACCATGTCTGCTAGTGGCTTACACCATTTGTTCACCTCATATTTCCTTCTCCTTACTATTTTTTTTTTCTTAGAATATGTTGGCAACCATTAACGTACATTTAAGCTTTTTTATGTGTGCTCTTTCCATCACAGACAGATGGTAGTGTGAAAGGAAGTCTGTTGTGGGTGTTGGACCACACTCGCACTCCGTTTGGAAGGAGACTAATGAGGAAGTGGGTGAGCCAGCCCCTTACAGACCTGCAGTGAGTATAGAATACACTCTGACACGCGATGGAGCATGATTGTCAATACCGATTCAGCTTCAGTGTCCGTTCTTATCATTTAGTTTTTCAGTGCTTCAAACTTTATTTCCATGCAGCTTGGTCTGCGTTGTGAGGCTCTCTGGATCACAGAACCACAGTGAAGGACTCTGAGGCAGCACTAATGCCACTTTCATGTCACATGTGATAACTGGCTCATATTAGAACGATGCCTGTGATAATCATTTTCAGGCACTGTGGCTCAGTGGTTAATACTGTTGCCACACACCAAGAGGGGTCACAGGCTTCACATTTCTCCAATTGTTCTGTGTGTTTCCTCCAGTAGCTCCAGTTTATCCTGCCATCAGACACATGCTGGGTTAATTTTTCTGTCTCTGTGTCTCTGGCCAGGACACAGGCTTACAGCTAGAATCGGTCCCTGGGCATTGCACACAGGCTGCTCACTGTTTCACTTATTAAGATGGGTTAAATGCTGGCAGTAAATTTCCTTATTGGATTTAACAAAGAATAATATATAATAGTATGTAATCATCTCAGAAGTTTGGTTTTAATTACCTGACATGAGATAGATGTGAGATTTTCAGGCACATTTGCATCTCCCCCCCAAAAATATATGATTTTCCTCTTGAGGATTACATGACACGTGACGAACGGGTCTTGAATCTTGAATCTCCTGAGCTCTTTCCCCCATTAATGCTACCCTGACATTTAACAACCTCCCATGTACGCTTGATGACGCGTTTTGACACCTCATTGTATATCAATAAAGATTTGGTTTGACAACTATTAGAGTAGTTTCCAGGTTCCAAGAGTCGCTGCACAGGCGGAGACCACCCTCAAACTTCTAATGCACATCCACTTATTTTGTTTTATAAACAAGCCTGAAATATTTGAAAGTATCCATCCATCCATCTATTCGCTTCTGTTTATCCTTTTCAGTCTGTCGCAGGGCTAACACACAGAGACAACCATTCGCGCTCACATTCACTCCCACTTGCAATTTAGATTGATCAATTAACCTATCCCCGCAAACTGCTTTGGACGGTGGGAGGAGGCCGGAGTACCCGGAGGGAACCCATGCAAACATGGGGAGAACATGCAGAAAGACATGACCCCAGTAAGAAAGACTCTGGCCTGATGGAATTGAACTCAGGAGCTTCTTGCTGTGCGGCAACAGTGCTGCCCTATTTTTAAAATAGTTTTGAAAAAAGTGCCAAGGGTTATTCCCAGTAGGTTTTAAAGCTGGTAATAGAGTTAAAAGAGTTAATAGGTTGCACTTACTAGGAAATGTCCTCCAGACTCATTCGTAAGGAACAGCTGTTGGAGCACCTCAGTGCCAGGACCGGTGTTTGTCAGGAGCATCTGCTCTCACCTTTTGCTGTACTTTTCATTCTGGTGATGTAGTGGAGAACGTCTATGCAAGGAAAATGGAATGGCATTTATGGACATTGTGGGCACAACTGGATGATCTCGACTTGGGTGATGACCTGGCCAGATGTAGGCGATAACTGCACACCTGGCATCAACATCAGCAGGAATAGATCTCACTGTCAACAAAGGCAAAATAAAGATCATCAGGATTAGGATGGAGCACACTAGCCCCATCACAGTAGCAGGACAGCTCCTAGAAAAGGTCAATTCCTTCACCTAGCTGGGGTGCATAGTGAACACACAGGGTGGAATGGATGTGTGAGGCAGGCCTTTGTTAATAATATTAATGTTTGCTTGGCGGCCTGCATCCCAGTCCAGGACTCACGACTGTGATGAAAATTATAACCAGCTCCACATTTTCATTTATTTATTTATTTTTGAATAAAATAGCTGATCTCACATATAAATATGTAAGTGTTGTTTGGGAGGATATATGGCAGAGCAGCTGTTTCTCTTTTTAGAGAGACTGTGGTGTGAAAATACATACAAATATGTTTTGGAGGTGACTTCCTTAAATAAAAGCACTGCTGAGGACACACAGCAGTACCTCTCCAGTTCTCTGCAGTGTTTTTAAGTGTGTGAACATTTTCTCTGTGTGTGGCCCTCCCTCTGCCACTGGGCAGGGATTATTGCTGTGGATAGAGCACTGCTTTCAGATTATACAGATAGGTCCTCTAGAGACTTTCAACATGAATAAAACCCAGATTACTCCCAGGTACATTAATTCCAAGATACAGAGCACAGCAGCGCATTGAACAGACACTTGTGGGCATGTGCACGTACACACTCGCACAATAGTGTGATCTGTGATGTCCGATTTATTACATCACTAAGCTTCTTTTGATCTGCTTTTTCAGTCCATTTTTTTCTGGATGCTTACAGAAAGGCCTTACTGTGGACTAAAAAGCATTTCAGAGGACTTTAATATGAGGCTTTTTCTGCATTTTATAAACAAAACTGTTTCTGTGATTTTCATCATGTCGTTAAATCCATAGCTTTAGTAGTTCACCTGGCCCAAATGCAGAATTTTTCATTTTCCAAATGTTTAAATTTAATAAGCATATCTTAATCTTCTTAGCGTCAACCACATCTACAGAGGTCAAAGGTCTTGTAAGGTCACTGGGGAAATGAAGCTACAAGCAGCTGTACCTTCATGAGTGCTGGTTTGTGCAGTCGAGGGATTTTATTTAGGCCACGTAGATGTCTTCAGCTGAGCGCTCTTCAGTCTTCAGTTATTTAAAGTGACTTTACACGGTAAAGAACTGCGACTGCAGTTCTTGGTGCAGTAGTACAGGTTGCAGTCACAGTGTTAAGTTGGTGATTTGGGTATTGGATTAACGTTTTCTATGAATACTTGTATCTTTTAAACATTTGGTCACCTTTGTTTGCTTTGAATGTTCTTGAAAATTTGACACATTTTTAGACGTTAGGCGCAAGTGTGAATCTACATAGAAACTAATCAGGGACACTTTGGCGCTTATTTGTTTCATGTGTAAATCAACTTTAAGGAAACCCATTTATTTCAATCAGAACTGATTCAGCTTTCCAAATGACACGTTTCTTTTGGTGATGATGAGCCTGATGAGAACATTTACATTTCTTTCAACTCTTTCTTATCCTTGCTATCTTCTTAATTTCTGCAAGTCTTTTCTTTCTTTCTTACCTTTTCTTTCATGAAACTGCAGGTCTATATCCGAGAGGCAGGATGCGGTGCAGGAAATCCTGGAGTCGGACTCGCTGACTCTAAATTCCATTCGATCCCTGCTGTCACGTCTGCCAGACTTGGAGCGAGGCATCTGCAGCATATATCACAAAAAGGTAAAAGAACACAAATAAATAACTTGGATAATGTTTGTTATATTTTATCACAATTTTTGTGGCATTGTTATCGAATCCTGTAGGATACGAGAACAGGCGGGTTTAATAAATGGATGATAGTTTTAAAATTAGCATCGTTAAATAATCATCTTTATATTGAACAAGACAACTCGGATCATAATTTTTGCAATAATCCTCCAGCTCTAACGGCAGGGGGACAACATTTGTGAAATAATTCCTCTCGTTGGTTTGCATAGAAATGAAAGGCAAGAAGATTTTCTTCTTTCTTTCACTGACATTTTCTCTGTTTCTCTCTCTCTCTTTTTATGGCACGCTTGATTAACAGCAGGGAGCAGCCTCCTGTGTGGCGCTTACCTGATTGTTTGACACAGTCTCATTTCCCATCTGACCCATTTTTGAAATGTCAGAAGGCTTCATCTTCTGTGTGTGTGTGCGTGTGTGCGTGTGTTTGCAATAATGAAAAAAGACACTTTGTTTCTGAGCTTGATGTCTTGTTTCATGTTCAGCTTTTGGATTCCTTCATCTGTTGCTGAAAGAAAATGATCAAATGTCATTTAACGCACACATACACTCAAACACCCACGCATACACACACGCAGCAGACACACAGAGGGGCCTTAATTGTCATTTTGCCCATCTGTAGATAAATGGGCCTGTGTGTAATGGCTTGTGTCTCCACGGCTCCACTGACATAATGGGAGAGAGGGCATGCCTGTGGCCTCTAGTAGCTGCCTGTTTGGGTCCATAAAAGAGCAACACGGGGGCAGGAGCATTAAAACTGCAGCATGTGATTAATACCATAAACCACTGTCACTGTGACCTCTCATTAACCCGAGGGTCAAGACTTGGTACTATACAGTAACATTGCTAATGGCAATAGAAGGTCAGTATAATCTACATTATCACTGATTGATTACTCATTAATTCTATTTAGTCTGAAATGATTGGCACTTTTATTTTTAAAGACGCAACACTGATCTTGAAGAAATATAAGAAGTTATTGATTATAGGCTGCTTTGTTTTCTATACTGTGGATTATCAGTGATTCCCAAGACAGCTGCCGTTTACAGATAATAAAATGTATCATTTGCTTCTTAATAGATGCTAAATAGCACCAGCCAAGTCCTGTATCTACATTTCTATTTTTTTTTATTGTGTAATACAGCAAATATAGTATGATGCATATTGAAGGGTAGTGTTTTATTTTCTTGATGCTTTGTTGTGAAGACGTGCAGTCGGTGCTGCTTGTAGTGAGTGGTGTTTTCTCACAGCCTTTGGATGTAATATATGACTATTCTTTAAGCTCGGCTGCTGGCCAGCGCGGATAAGATTTAATGATGTAATCTCCCTGCCTTACAGAGTACCCTGATAATACAACACACTTACAAACATGAATATACAGTACTGTGCAAAAGTCTTGAGTCACGAGTGGTTTCTTTATATTTGCTTCCAAAGAGCCAGGCTGATTTTTTGATAGCGGTCTTGAGTAATAGGTCCCCAGAGTTTCTGAAGGTCTTTTAAAATTTTTACTTTGATCACGGGTTGCTTTTTCACTCATTTTGATTCCAATCCTTAAACCTGACCATTTTATGAAGAATATTTATTAACCCTAACCCCCTAAAGATAGAAAAAAAACCCACCCAACTCAAGTGATAAACCAATATTGCATCTATGCAACAAACACAACTTGGCAAAGGACCAATTTTAAATAGTTTTTTAGCCACTTTGATATATACTTAGTAATGTTTTTGCTTGTTTTTTTTTTGTTTTTTTTGCACATCTTTCCAGTCTTCTACTCAGGAATTTTACCTCATTACTAGCAATCTTTCTCGCCTGGGGCTGGAACTGCAGACTTTGCTACCAGCCATGCGTTCCCAGATCAGCTCAGGGCTACTTCGAAGCCTTCTGTTGGACACTCCAGACCAGCTGATTCCAGCCCAAAGCTTCCTAAAGGTGCTCAATGAAAAGGCAGCCAAGTAAGTATCCAGCAGCACAGGTGTGGAACTGACAGAAGCATAATTTAGATTGCTTTAATGTGTGTTGGGTTATTATATTTTACTTAAATGCAAAAAATATATATCTGTTAAAGAGAAAATGAATTCTCAACGGTGCAATCAGAAAAACAACACAGCATCATAAAACTGGGCTGACAAATGTAAGATATGGCACAGTGGGAGATGCCTGCTGTCACTCCATAAATGTATGACCAATAGTTGGCGTACAGTATGAGAGAGGAAAAGGCCTCCTAGTGTCACATGGATAATTCTTTTCCTCAGTTTTCATCATTGAAAGGTCAAGCTGACCACAGGCTCATCTCTTACAAAATGCACTGCGATATATTACCAGTAACAGTCACATTTGGACTGTGTATTTGTGCAGGTCAGGGAACAAGACGGAGCTATTCTCAGATCTGTCTGGATTCCCAGTGCTGCAGGAAAGAATGGAGCAAATCCAAACTGTCCTCCGTGAGATTCAAGACCACCGCAAAGACATCCGTCTGATACTAAAGGCCCCCGCGCTCGAATATACGACCGTTTCTGGACAGGAGGTGTGTGTGTGTGTGTGTGTGTGTGTGTGTGTGTGTGTGTGTGTGTGTGAGAGTGAGTGTGAGTGTGTGTGTGTGTGTGTGTGTGTGTGTGTGTGTGTGTGTGTGTGTTTTGCTGGAAGTGAAAGAAAGGTGGGAGGATTGATGGCCATTTGGGTGGAAGACTCAGCAACAGTGATGGTCTGATGTCTGTGTTTTTGTGTCTGGTTGCCAGTTTTAATCAAGAGTGACACATTATTTTTCCTGTCTTCTCTGGTCTTATTTATCAGTTCTCCTCCTCTTTCTCCTCTGCCCTCAGTTTCTGATTGAGGTGAAGAACTCAGTTTCATCCATTGTTCCACCTGAATGGGTCAAAATCAGCAGGTCAGCTCACTCACCTCTACATTACAAACAACACTTACATGTACTTCTTTTTTTTTTTTTAGCATTGATTTTAATATTCATTGTGTGATGTCAAAAATGACATCTGACTTATCGAACTTGGATTGCACAACAGAAATATTGTTGGGCAATTTTTCTAAAATAAATGCTGTAAAAAACAATTTTTTTTCCCATAGCACATTTAAAACTAAAGCGCATTAGACAAAAAAGAAAAAGAGTAAACAAATAACTAAACAGTGATCAGAAAAGATTGAGAAGGAGACCTTAATGATGAGGGAGTATTTGAATGCTGCACGTCGAAGACATATGAAGGTGTGAGACCATCTAAGGCTTTAAACACAAACAGTGACACTATTTAATGGATTCTGTGATGCACAGTAGACCAGTGGAAGTCTGCTAACATCTGAGCCAACTGCTGCACAAGTCTAAATGCAGAAGAGATGATTGACTAACTCCAGTACACAGTGTATTACAATAGTCCAGTTTAGATGTAACATAGGCATGTTTCCCTTAGCTCTATTGAGGAGTTAGCATATTTGAGCTTACTTTTTTTTTTTAACTTTAGCACTACTGATTAGAGCCAGACTGATGTATTGATGGGCTCATATTATCTGATGGTATAATGGCCAATAAATGAAAATTTGAAAAGTAAAGAAGAGACGGAAAGCACACTTCAACCATGCTATGAGTGTTGTCGTTGCAAATAACTGCAGCTTCCCTGTTGGCAGTACCACAAACAACAATCAGCTGATTCAAGCAGGGTGTAAACAAAAAATTAAATAATTCAGTTTAACAAATCAGAGCATTCTGTTTATTTTTGTGTCTTGTTTTGGGATTTTTAAATGACCAAATATTAGCATTAATCTTTAAAATCCTGGGTCCTGTTTAAGATCTGTTTCATTTACACTCTGCTACAATTTTTTTCTTGTTTGTTTGTTTTTCGAGCAGCATATGAATAAGAAAAAAACAAACTGTTGCACTGATTTGCAAAAAGCCCAATTTTAACTAAGAGTAGTGAAAAAATGTGAAATGTTTTGTTTTTTGAAAAATGATGCTTAATTTAACACACTTGTGAAACATTCAGCCTCTCTGGGATGCTCTTTGTAACTTACCATTTGCAAATTAACTAAATTAATTTTGAGTTGGTTCACCGGGTGTGTTTCATTTGTGACCCTCCCCCAAGTCTTTAAAAAACATTTTGCCGGTGTCACATTCAAAATGAGCATTTATTACTAAATACAAATCAAGTTTCTGAGTTTAAACATCTGATATGTTGTATTTTCAGTATGTATTGGGTAATTCATTTATGAAGACTGCTTTTCAGCATGAACATGGCATGGGAAGCCCTGAATCCCTGACCTTTGCCCCCAGAGGCTGAAACATTATGTGGTAGCCAAAGATTCCTAGATTGTCATATTATAAACCTTTGTCATATTGTAGGTAAGTGGTTTACAAAGACCTCTGGTCCTTCAATGGGTTGCAAGATAAATGTGAGGATTTTCAAAGGTCCTGCAGCTGAATGGATTCTTTAGGGTCTGAACAGACGGATGGGATTGGCAAAAATGAATTTTTTGCTGGAATAATAAAGGTCCTTGGTGTTCAAGAAAGGTAGAGTGGTGGACAGATCAATATTATCAATAGTAAACCTATGAATCTCAGCCATCTGCAGGATGCCATTAACGGTCAGCAAAGAGCACCTGCAAGGAGCTTAATGGTTATGTTAATGTCATAGTCCTTTACAGAAAGACTCTGAGGGTCCCTTGAAATTCATCAGAGGGGACCGGAAGCTTTTGTAAAGGGGAGAACTGTGCTACTGTGAAATCCCAGACTCTAAAGTCACTGGGGCCGAGATGATAACCAGCGAATAACAGCAAAAATTGGTTAACAGAGTGTGCTGGATGGAGTGGTATCCAATCAAAGAACAGGCGGGGGAATCTAGCCAAGGCACCAATTAGCAGATCAGCACTAGGGCTTCACAATTCAGTGATCAAAAGCTGAGATGTTAACTGAAGTTACCTCATACTTTTGGGTAATTTTTCTGTGGACTTACAAGACAGAAGAATACATTACAAGTTTGTGGCCCTTATATATCTTGTGTTAAAACTAACACAGCATTTCTTAAAAGAACGTTAAACCTGAAGGAGAATATCCAGCCACCAGTTTGTCCCTGATGGGATCCACTTGAGTTATGGACAGAAAGAACAGTGATCTGAAACACCTCTGAATGGCTACATTAAAAAAAAAAAAAAAAAAAAAAAAGGATTTTGGAGTAGCTTGTCAAAGTCTGGATTTTAATCTGACTAAGATGCTTTGGCATTTTAATTTATTTATTTAAAAGGGACAGCGTATATTAATAAACATATCACTGTAAATATTCCAGAATTAACCAGAGGCCTGTTTTTCTCCTGTAGTCCCTGGCAAGTCAAAAACAAACAAAACACCCCATCAGACAAGAACACATAAAATTACAACAATAAAATCCACAGTACAAAGAACAATACAATAAAACAGCGCAGGACAACAAATACATATGAAAGCATAAAACATCAAATATGACATATTAGCATAAAATGAATGATCACAGATCTGATTTCTCTGTAGCCATCATTTGAGATGTGTGTGATGAAAGATTGTAAATTCTCTTATTACAGCTGGCATATTATTCCAAATCTCACTACCTTTAACTGTTAACACCTGATTGCTACATATTATATGTCTAAGAGGCCTTTACTAGAGGCTCTGGTTACTCTTAATATTGATATTAAGAGTTAAGAATTCTGATATTCAATTTTAACATTAACAAACTCACCCAATGAGGGTGGAGCAAGTCCATGTTGGTTCTTATAAATAGGACAAGTAAATGTATTCATTTATTTATTTTTTAAATTTCAAACTTAAGCTATTGTATTTTTGAAGTATGAGACGATAATGGGTGGGGAAAAAGCGTTAAGATGTTTCTGCTGGTTCTAAAGTCGTAATACTTACCATGGACCAATTAGTGCAACAGTATTCTATATGAGAAAAGATCATACAGTAGAAAAACCTTATAGCTGCATTTACTGGCAGTGATGATCTAATTTGCGTGAAATTGTGTAGGCTGACATTAATGTTTTTAGACCTTAAACAGGCCTTTCCTGCTCAAAAACCCTTCAGTGTGGCTGAATTCAAACAATTCTGCATAGCAAAGTGGGCCAAAATTCCTCCCCAGTGATGCGATATATTACAAACACTTGATTGCAGATCTTGCCTTCAGGGGTGTCACAACCAGTTTTGGGGTAATTACATTTTGCTCCTGAGCCAGGTAGGTTTGGATAGCCTTTTTCAATTAATAAATCAAATCATCATTTAAAAACTGCATTTTGTATTTATTTGATGATCTGAAACATGTGTGACAAGTCTGCCAAGAAAACAAAAAAAAAGAGACCAAGAAAGGGGCAAGTACTTTTTCTCAGCACTGTCGAGCCTCACTGTAGGTTTGTGAAGTTTAGGATTTAGCAGGTGGCCTGCTAACGAATAATATGCGGTAGTATCAAGAGATCTTTCATTACAGTGTTATTACAGTACACAATACATATTGCAACACAAAATTACATTTATTTTCCATGTTTTTGCATTAAGTTTAATCTGGTCATAACCCAAGTAGATCTGCAACAAGTTGTCTCTTTGTTTTAAGGGGGCACAGAATTACATACATGGTGTCCAGCAGTTATCAGCACTTGTGTAAAAGTGGTTTTAAATGAATTTCTTTTTAGTATACTACACTCCTCTTATATGCTAAAATCCAGTAGTTTAATTCTTCACTTCAGTCCATTTTTTGCCTTGCCTTCTGTACTTCACGTTTACCCCTGTCTCCTCTGCAGCACCAAGGCAGTCAGCAGGTATCACTCTCCTTTCCTGGTGGACCGCTACAAGAAGCTGCAGCAGCTCCGAGAGCAGCTGATGCTGGATTGCCAGAGGGAGTGGACCAATTTTCTGGAGTATGACAGATACATGCACGCATACACACACACACACACACACACACACACACACACACACACACACACACACACACACAAATGCAACTCAGCTGGAAAAAAAATCTGAAAACATGCCAGTCTGTGGTTCAGAGGTATGCCTCCACAGCTCAGCCTGCCAGAATTAGTCTGTTTTAGTCAAGTACACCGTCAGTGCTGTCTACTCAGAACACTTCAAAATCTCTTTTTCTCTCTCTCTACAGTCAGTTTGGGGAGCACTACCACACCATGAAAAGGGCTATTAGTCACCTAGCAACCATGGACTGTCTCTTTTCATTGGCTGAGGTGGCTAAACAAGGGGACTATTGCAGGTGATGTCCTCTCACGATGACCATAAATATTGATGCATGTGTTTGAGTATGTAAATTGGGTGTGTGCATGTGTTTTTATGTGTGGGATACACTGTATATGTGTGTGGTTCGGGGTCGTGTCGTGTCCTAAAGTCTCAGACAGGTTGTGTGTGGGTGTGTGCACCCCGCTCAGCAGTGTGCTCTGCCAGAACTCCAACATCTCTCCCACTCACTCACTCTTTGCCTCACACACACACACACACACACACACACACACACACACACACACACACACACACACACACCTTTATGCTGTGCTACAAATTTCTGTGTTTTAGGATTGCTTCTTCTCATATACTGCTACCTCCTGCCCTCTTTCCATTGTATTTGCATGTCCTACTTGTCATTAGTTTCTTTGACTGGAAATGTTACGGTTTGTGTGTTAAAGTGGATATTGTTGGCTTTTTTAACCCATTCAACCAAGAAATCCTCTAATCCAACTTGAAAGAGACTCTATTAACCGAGAAAATGAGAAATAACTTAAGAAAGCACGTCAGACACACGGGAAAAACTAGTGCACTCCCACATTTGTCTGCAGCCTCACATCCATCAGTTCAGAATCCAGGGCTCCAGATTAGGTGATGATGACAGGAATCTCTGCCATGTGTGGTTTGTTATTCTCTTTCCATGTGGGACGTAAAGCTCCAACTTGTGACAGCCTCCCATCTTATGCCTGTACCCATCAGAGACCCATCTTTTGTAGCACTGCTAGCATAGTCCTCATCAATATTTCATTTGGTCTGAACATCTTCCTCTTCCGTCAGATTATGGCGCCCATCTGAGGGCAATCTGTGTTATCCTTTCAGGACCTGTAATAGCAATTCTTTGTTTTTATTCTATGGGTGATGTTGAGACAGGCAGTTCTCCTCTACTTTTCCATGTGTGAGCATTTGTTTGGAGGGAACAACGTGATTGCTAGGATGTCATTCTTGGTAATGCGCCAGATTCAGACCGTATAGAAGGATGCACTTCACATTGCTGTTGTAGAGTCTTATACTATGTCTTCTCTTTGAAATGCTTGGATTTCTAGATGGAGCAGAGCACTGCTGAAAACACCCTGTGTCTTATTGTGCTATTAACGTTTGTTGAGTGAACATGCCAAGACCTAAAGAGGTCTTTAAGGTTATTTAGAGTAAAGAATGTGGTTGTCAATGAGTCTGGCAAGCGATTTTCTGTGGAACTGGCTGCCCCAGCAAATTGAGCCAAAAAGCAGACTGTTTGATACAAAAAGAACCCCAAAACGTAATCAGCGGAAATTAACTCTTGCAGCTGGTTGGTGTCAGAGTGCATGTGTAAGAGAGGGACTGCACAAGCTGGACAAATGCAATGTGCACGGGAGATCTGCCAGGAAAAAGTATTTGCTGTCCAGAAATAACATTAGAGAAAAACTGCAATTGAACTATCAACATATAAGCAAAGCAACAGGACTTTTGGAATAAAGTGCTCTGAACTAATGAATGGAAGATGAAGAGAACAAGAATGATAAAGGGTCGTTGAAACATGAGATATGTTTGGCACAGACCACATAACGTTTCAGGAAAATGGTCCCATACCAGCTATGATGCACTGTGGGTTGAATGTTATGTTTTGGTTTTGCTTCACTGTCTCAGACTCTGCAGCTTGCAGTCATTGATTCAGCTATGAATTATGCATAATTTCCAAGTGCTTTGAGATAATGAGAGGCCATCTGTCCAAGAGCTGAAGTTGAACAGGAAGTGAACATATCAGCGTTGTAATAACCCTAAGAACACTAATCTACCTCTAGGAGGGAAAAAAATGGCTTGATCCACATTGAAGTGTTTTGGGAGGATTTGTCGATGCAAGAAAATGCAAACATCTTCCAGCTGAGGTCAATGAGTGGTGGACAATTATGCAAATAGCCAGCAAGAAGTTATTTGTGCTGAAGGAAAAATTCTAGTTTTTGAGCTCAAAATGTACTCAGTCTTTCAACATAAGAATATCCACATATCCGTGATATGTGGATATTTTCTATTGAATAAATGATGAGAAGAAGCAGTTTTACTCTTGGTAAAGCAGATCTTCCCAAGTTTTCCCAAATGATGATCATTTTTGTTTTATTTATAGTTTTTAAAATAAATAATACAGTCAACATAATTAAGTGTTGTATTGATTTCCACTGCAATCCTAGATAGTAATAATAATAATAATGGATTGGATTTATATAGCGCTTTTCAAGGCACCCAAAGCGCTTTACAATGCCACTATTCATTCACTCTCGCATTCATACACTGGTGGAGGCAGCTACGGTTGTAGCCACAGCTGCCCTGGGGCAGACTGACAGAAGCGAGGCTGCCATTTCGCGCCATCGGCCCCTCTGGCCAACACCAGTAGGCGGTAGGGTAAAGTGTCTTGCCCAAGGACACAACAACCAGGACAGAGAGCCCAGGGATCGAACCGGCAACCTTCCGGTTACAGATACGCTTCCCAACCCCCTGAGCCACAGTAGAATATATTTACACAGTAACAATATTCTACTTTTTTAATTTTATTTTTAATTATACCAATTTGCCTTAAAGAAATCTTTGTCAGTACAGCTTAACATTTACTCTGTACATATTTATCTTCACACTCTGTGTGGGTGTGGGTGTGTGTTCACACGCCTAACTGACTGTTCTGTTTTTAGGCCAGAGGTGTGTGACAATAAGCACCAGATTACGATCAGGGATGGCAGGCATCCTGCTATTGATTTACTGATGGGAGAGCACAACCAGTATGTGCCCAACCACACCGAACTACAGGTAAACACACACACACACACACAGGCTCATTCAGAGAACTTTGAAGAAAAAAAAAAAGCCAAGCCAAAACATACACAGACATTTGCCTGCTCGCTAACGCACTGAGAGCGTGCTGAAACAAAACTGCAAAGGCACACAGACTTTGTCTTACACATGAATACGCACATAGACTTACACGAAACCACACAGATACATGCATACACACACATGCTTCCTAGCTCAGCGCTGGAGTGGGTGTAGGTTAATCTTGTAACAGAAGCACAAGCCAATAGGAAGAGAAGCCAAGCTTTCAGTCCACCCACAGCTTCAGCTGTGCAGGACAGCATGCAAATATCTTTTTCTGTCTCTCTTCTCGTTTGCCTTCTGTCTATGTCACAGCTATTATCCTCTTCTCTCTCCCTCCTTTTAGGGTGATGGCAGGAGAACAATGATAATCACTGGGCCTAATATGGGGGGTAAGAGCTCCTACATTCGCCAGGTAGCTCTTATCTGTGTAATGGCTCAGATGGGCTCATACGTCCCAGCCTCAGCGGCCTGTGTGGGCATCCTGGATGGCATTTACACCAGGTACGAGTACAAGCAAAAACTTGTCTGTGGACATATTTTGTCAACCATGTAGCATCACAGTCATATAAGACACAGTCACTTTGCAGGTGTGTAGTTGGGATCCAAAGGTGAGCCAATTTAAAGGTGCCTGCAATCTGACAACTTGGTACTAAGTAAAGGGAGCTGAAAGTCTTAGTTTTTTCCACATTTTGGGAGTCTGATGTTACAGACAAGTCAAAGGCGCAAGAGTATAATATAAGTATAAAAGCAATCATTTGATTCAGCTTTGAAGGAAAATGAACACAGCTTGATTTTTTTGTTTTTTAAGCAGTATCTCAGTGACATCAGTGGATCGACGTTTGTTTTCCTCGTAAGCGTGTTAAAGATGGAAAAACCGTATAGACTGGCACATTAAAGCGGGTTAGTAAATATACATGTGTAATACCAAGTCTGCTATATAAAATCACACAAGACTATTACAGGGCGGTGTTTTTTTGGGTTGTTCTTGCTTTGCCTCTGTTGACAGTGAGATTAGGACAATGATCCTGAAAGCTCTCACTGAGCACAGTTTCACTTCTGAACGCTTTGTTAGTACAATTAAACCAAACAGGTAGAGGTTACTGTGGAGACGACTTGACAAAAAAAATAAAAAATAAATCGAACTGTTACCCTAAAAGCGTGTGAGCTACTGTGTGTCACCTTCATTGTCTGTGAAACAGTCAAGTTTATTCATAGGCCAGACAATCACACTTATCCCTTCTAATCCTTTTTTTTTTGTTCCTCACTGCACAGGAGGAAGTGTGTAAGGGGGGAACAGATGAACTACAGTTGTATGACAATGCCCGGTCTATTGTTCCATCAGCGGTGTATAGTAGAAACTCTCGGCAATAAGGTTTTGTTGGAGACCTTTTTTTTTGTGCTGTGATTATTCTTATTATGAGGAAAGTAGCAGTGAGCTGTGTGTCTAATATTTAGTCCAGACTACATGTTTAAATGAAATAGAGGCCAAATCGCAGTCTGCGTTATTCTGCCTGTGATTAGACCTAATGGCTTGCAGATGTGTCTAATTGTCTTTTTTTGCGGCTTTAAGCATGTTCTTAAGTATTAACCCAGCGGGTGCCAGAGACAGCAAGTGTGCATGTGTGTGTGTGGATGTGCACTCTTAATTATATCCTTGGGAGAAGCAGTCTGGGGTTTTAGGTTTCACATTAGCCTAACAAGGTGATTTTGACTGGTCATTACATCAGTAAGCGGACAGTTTAGTTATCATTTCCTGGGTTTACAGTTATCACAGCGACGGATTTGGTGAATGCACAAAAGGACCTGAACTGATACACCTGGTGGTTTATGTACAGGTTGCCATTCCATGAACTAAAAACAAAACAGATGGCCGTTTGATTAATGCCCTCTGATGACCCTTTGCATGGCTTTCAAGAACACCAGTTTTATTTTTGTTTTTTAGATACTTTGTGCACCATAAATTTTATTAGCCCTCAACTGTAAAAGGCTGATGGCAAGTGCACAACATGGACACCAAAGTTTGTGAATGCAATAACTCTAGAACAAAGCGACAAAGGGCTTTCAAATTGTTGTCACAATTGTATCAACTACAAATCTTGGGCGTGTTCGAATCTTAACAACCTCAGCCTCAGGGTCAAGTGAGGTCAAATTTTCTGAAAATCTTGCGAATCTGATGACTCAAGAACAAAGTGATACAATACATGTATTAAGTAGGAGGCCAAGGGGTACCAAAGGACACCTCCAGTATATTTTATGTTCTGTGGCAATATTCTGTGATCAACCTAGACTTTGTAACAATTCAACTTTTTTTCCATGTGAGCAGCTCTATGAACGAACTTGCATGCATAACATGGTCTCTGCACTTTTACAGCAGTAATCATGCTACAGATTTTTTAATCATTACAGTTAATTTTTTAAAACTATATACTGGCTTGCATTTTACTTAAAAAAAAACAACAACAAATGAACAAAACCAATAAAAGCCATTTTTTTAGAGTTAGAAATAATCGTTATGTCTTATATACTGGGCCTTTGTGACATTTGTGACATTGTTGCCAACTGTGAAGTGCCCTCTGGTGGACAAACTTTGTAACAGCAGCACTCATAACATGCTTGAAGGGTGTTTCTGCCATCTCTTCTTTACTTTTTAAAATGTAGAATTTATCGGTTGTTAAAAACCCGCCAAAATCTTGACAAACGGCTTATCTGTTGATATATTGGGTGTGTCGGTGTATCAGTCAAGCTCATAGTATGTTTAATATTAGCATCTACCTCTATAATACATTGTAATGTATATGACAAAAAAATAAGGAAAAGTATAATGGGCCCATTTGAAAGGCACAACAAATATTTTTAGGGCTGAAATGGGAAAGCCCGAGTTTTGGGTTACATATGATGCTTGTTTACGGATATAAGACTTTTAAACAAAGGTCAGTTAACGTCAGGTTTAGAAGAGCCAGTGAAGGTCTATATATAATAAATTAGTACAGAGCTGTGCATGTGTTTGACCGTGTGTGCCTCTGGTGTTTAGTGAGGTATTTGATCAGGGTTGGAGGTTAATATACTCTCCCTGATTCAAACAATACAACTAAGAGCTAATTAAGGTCCACAGTGAAAGCGCACCCACATTGTATAATCCATCTTCTCCTCACCTCCTATGTAACCTCTGTCGTCCTATCAGTTTCTAATTGGACTACTCGGCCTCTCTGTCAGAGAGTTGAAGTTGCTGAGGAGAATCTGTCTTATAATAAATACTCAATCAATTCCCACTCCTGTGTCAAGCATAATAGGTGCAGCACTGGGAATTGCTTCATCTTTTGTGTGTGTGAGAGATATTATGCATTTATGAGTGTGAAAGTGAGCTAGGCAAGAGCAGAGCTTGAAAGTTTTACTTGAGTGACATAAGCAGACTTGTGGGTTGGGGATAATGAGATGGTGCGTAGGTGTCTAATGGGATATCCTGTCTGAACTGATCGTGGTGATTGATTATCAATGAGGAGAAGGAGAATAATCGGGATACTGCTTTAAAGCTGTGTGCTGCCTCACAAGAGTCTTGTTTGAATTTTTCTGCCCACTCCACTAAATCTGTGTGTGTTTTTGTTCTTTTGCAGACTTTGGTAGAGCGACTTTAGCAGCCTGGAGTGTGTGTCTGTCTGCGTGTGTGTGCGCGCGCATTTGTTTCCAAGTGGCTGGCAGATGCATGTGTGTGTATTCGTGTATGCAGCTGCTGTGTGTGTTTTCTTGTTGGTTTTTAGTCCTGAAGGTTATAGAGCACATTCATCCATCCCTTCATGGTTGTTATGGAAACAGCAAGAGGAAGCTGAATGTAAAACTGTATTTTGAAAAGACCTTTAATCGACCATGGACTCCTAGCAGTGATTATACCGTGCTTTACACAAGTCTTTCTTACGCTCCCCTCCCTTCTGAAAGCGCAGCTTTTCTGCATTTTTCTTTTTTGGGTCCAGAAATGTGGATATCATCCTCACAAGGCCTGACAAACGGCACCGAGTGTTTTGCTGTGCAACATCAGCACCTTTGTGGGTGTACACATGTTGATCCTGTGGAAAGATGCTGTATCCTGCATCGACTCATCTGTTCCTATGAGTTTTTAATAGTGCTGCAGTGTCAGAGAGTCTGTGCCATCTTGTAGGCGGTATACAGAGCTGGTTAGGCCTTTTTTTTTTTGTATAAAACCTGGAAGGTTTAAATCACACAGGATTAAATTCTGCAGAAATCCATGTAGCAGGATAGTAAGGCGAACACTGAGAATAACCTGAAATAATTTACAAAATATTAAGCGTTAAGATACTTATATCAGGGTTTTGTTTTTTTTTTTTAAAAATTGATTAAAAACATGTGTTGTTATATTTTTTTTTTCCTTGCGGGGATCCCATTGGCTTACACAGAGTGGCTGCGTCTTCTGAAGTCCACATATGCAGTTAGTTCTTCAACGATGACACATTTGTCCTTGTAGTTTTGCCCCTGTACACCATCACAGTGGATTTTAAATCAGACAAACAAGGAATGATTGAAGTGTAGGTCTTTAGGTTTAATCCAAGGAGATTTTAAAAAAAAAAGAAAAAAAGTTGCATCAACTGTTTCAGTCGCAAACTGAATTTCAGCCATTTTTATACACAGTCCACCTTTTTCAGGGGCTCAAAAGCAATTTAATGATTGATTGACAAGCATTTTGATGGACACCTGAAGTTTATTCCTTCATTAACTTTTGCACTGTCCACTTCCTGCTGTGACAAAACAAATTTCCCACGTGTGGGACTAATAAAGGTTATCTTATCTTATCTTATCTTATCTTATCTTATTATTCCATGAAAAAAAAAGATATTTATTGGATTCCAAGTGTTGAACATAAATTTTGCAGCTTTTCAGTGGACTCCTCAATAATTGATGAGTTGATGTTTATTCAAGTGAGGAAGGCAATCCTTTGGGTGAAACACCAATATAAATTTATTAGAGTGATGCAAAAACTTTAAGACTTGCCAAACCTTCTGTCTGGTGCATTATAATGAAAAGGGAGTGCATTCAGGTAATGTAAATACTTGGCAGAAAGGTACAAACCACTGGTTCACCTCAAAAACAAGAAGACCAGAATAGACTAGAAAACATGAAATCTTTGATCAAATCAAACTACAATAAACTTGTTTCTGAATTATGAGAAAAGCATAAAAAACAGAAACGCATCATGATCCAAAACCGTATCACATCATCTGTCAGGCATGATGGAGTTAATGTTATGGCATGGGCATGTGTGGCTGACAGTAGGCCTGTGTCACTAGTGTTTATATATGATGTGACTGCTGATAAGAAGTAGCAGGATGAATTCTAAAATGCACAGGACTGTACTTTCTACTCAGATTCAGTCCAATGCTACAAAATTGTTGGGGCAGAGCTTCCCAGTGCAAATGATAATGACCCAAAGCATACTGAAAAAGTAACCCAAGAATTTCTCCGGGTAAGAATATGTCAGCGAGGAGTTATCGTCATTAAATGATTATGTCAGACACGCACTTCTGGCTGTGAAAAGCCTCATTCACCCACTATTCAAATCCTCTGTTTTCAAGGGGCAGCCAATCATCATGCAGTGACAGAAAGATAATCATGTTGTTGCAAAGTGAATCCTCCTAATAAGTTGCATTTAAAATTTAGATGTTTGTCATTTTCATTGTCATTTGTTCCTATCTGTTTTTTGATCAGTCGTAGGAAAGGAAGGCTCAAACAAATATGCGAGTCATTTCTTTCCCTGCTTTCATTGGTACTGCTGCTAGAATTCAATCACATATCAATGTTCTTGATTTGTGTTTGTCAGGAAGTATTCAGACATTCTGATAATTTTTTAAAATAACATTAAAAAAACCCAGCTACCACATGCATTTGTAGGATTACTGCTGGGATTACTAATACTCCAATTTTGAGAAACATTGCTACAAGGGAACAAAAAAAATGGCAGCAAAATTCTTCCCACAGACAGAACAGTCACACCCCCCCCCCCCCCCCCCCCCCCCCCCCACCCCTCAGCTTTGTTAAGAAGAAATCAAATAAAATATATGGACTTTTTCCCTTTTAGCAAACTTTTTTTTTTTTTTTAAGTTGTATAATAGAAGATTGTAATAGTCATGCAAAATACACTTGGGCTTTTAATTTTCTTCCTGGAAAACTACACATGCTGATAATGCTTCACTGCTTCTTTTAAAATATGGGATGATTTTATTTTATTTTATTTTTGAAAGAAATCTTAACTAAAGACAGATCCACGAGTGTCAGAAAAACACTTGAATCTAGCTCAACATGTTTGCTTGAAAGGTGTGAGGTGAAAATAAATGGAGTCTATTTCCAGGATCAGTGTGTTTGGCTAGAAAGGAGGACTCAATCAGACCAGCAGGACACCCAGCTGGTGGAGTGTTGCTGTGTTCATCTGTGGACAGAGTGAGTGTGTAAACTCACATCTGGTGTCATTTCCTCTGAGTTTTAATCATGCATGCAGATACAACCTTTATTTTAGAGCCTATCTGTTAGTGGATTTTGGGGGGAAAGTTAGGATATTGATGTTCTGCCAGTTTTTGTTTTAACATAGTTGTGATCAAAAAGTTGTGGCATTCTGCCTATAAAAAAAATACCTGAATTAAGTTAGGTCAGTCTCCCCTTCAAGGTTTTTTTCTCTTGCAACTTATTGACTTCTTCAACTTCTACTTCCCACTTCTCACAGATTCACTATTGCTTGGTGAATCGTTTGCAGACAAATTTGTGTCTTCCATGCAAACTACAACTGACCGCAGTAACTTCCTGGTGACCAAAGTAATTGGAAGGACGTTATCGGTACAGCACCATGTGTCTCTGAGCACCCAGTCTTGCAATACAGACTGCACTGCCAGCAATTTAGTTATATGACAATAGTGAGAATATTGCAAGTAACATAGTCAGAGTCATACTTTTCTGTAACGAACACCCGATATACCTCAAGCATCTTTTTAATTCATTATATTCCTTTAAAAATGGTTTTCATAATACTGTACATGGGAAAACATATGTGCCAGTATCAGGCTAGCTGTGATGATAATGGACATTTAATTCATCACTTGGGATCTAATAAACTGGCTAATAAAATGCAGCAACATGTCTGCCACACCTCTCATCCACAGGGTGCGTGGTGTAACCATGGCAACACAGGTGTTAGATGCTCTTGTTGGAGTTTCATTCATAGACACAGAGCAGAACAGGAAGAGACAGATTTAGTGGTGAGAAACACCGACTGCCAGAGAGATGTGGCATCTGTGATCCAGCTGGAGTCGAGTTTCTATCAGATGAGTCAATGATCTGTCTGTCAGTCTGTGTGAAAGCAAGAGCTCTCAAATTGGCCTTGTAGCTTGTGAAGAATTCAACACGTTGTCATAGCATTTCCAATCAGTACGTTTCTATTATTGTGGAAATATAGGTGGTCTTGTTGCATGCTGAGTTCACGTCACTGATGTATTCTTCAGTCTTTTCTAATAAATTGTTGTAATATAACAAGAACATTTTGGTATTGTGATTTCAAATGTTTGTACTTTTTTCTGTCAGGTTTGCTGAAATGACTGGTTTTTGTTTCTAAGTGGTCATATTGGTCATACTGGTCATCTCTTCTCAAGCTGATGGATGCAACCTTTTTCCCCTCTTCAGAAAACAGGAGAAGTGACTGTCACAGAGATATTAAAAAGTGTGTTATTATAGTCTTTAATCTTTTATAGGTGCAGCAGCCCGTCCACTAAATGCTTTTAACAATGATAAGAGTTGATTATGACTCATTTAAATGTGAGTAATGTTGAAGCAAACCTTAGAGTTAGTTTTAATATCTGTGTGGCCACAATGTGTGAATAAATGAGATTAAAGAATTCATTTAAATCCTTTACACCATCAGCCACGTCTTAAAACGGGTTGATTTCTTTCTTCTTCTGTTCAATTTCAGAAAAGGAGCCCCCCACTGTTGTTCTCCTGCATTTTTCACACCCATCATTTCAATCTCTTGTTCTTTTTTTCAGTGCAGAAATGTTTCTCCTAGAATAAGACTGTGTAGGAGCAGGTTCACTGTGAGAAAAATGGCAGATTCTTTGTTTGTTTGTGGGTGTTTGTGGGATTTCTGGAAGAACAACAGCAGTTTGCAGTCCATAATTGTGGATTGCATTAGTGGCATCAGTAGTTTTTTTTTTTTGGTTTTTTATTATTGCAACTTGAGTTTGAGTCTTTTGTTTTCTGTTTTTATACACATCTGTCTTTTAATGCTTTCTTCCATGACCTCAACATATGGTTAAGTCCATAGCTTACCTGAAAAAGACATGTTTTTATTAATTATTTGTTAGCAGGCTGACTCAATAATAATTTAAAAAAAATCATTAACATTTGGAGGCTCATAGTGCTTACTTGGGCATTTCACATCACAAGCTAGTGTACTCCCAGTGCTAATCCCAAGCCTGGATAAATGGGAGCATTACATCAGGAAGGGGAAAAGTTAGTGCCAGATCAAACATGTGCAGCCATCCACTGTGGTGACCCAATGGGAAATGAGAAAATGGCCAAAAGTTAAAAAAAAAAAAAAAAAAAAAAAAGGTTCACAGTACACTATGCAGTCCTATGGAAAACTAAGAACATCCCACCTTTAGCTTAAACAGGTAATCACTTTCTGTATGGCTGTGGAGTAATTTGGTCCACTCTTTTTTTTTTCTTTTTTTACAATGTTGCTTCACTTCATTGACATCATTCATTTACACTTAGTGGTTTTAAGGTCCCGCTACAGCATTTCCATTGAACTGAAGTCTGGATTTTGACTGGACCATTGTGGCACCTTTGCTGCTCTGCTTTGAATTGTTTGAGTCTGTTTTGATGTGTGGTGTTTGGTTTTTGCTAAATATGGCGTCATGTAAAAACTGCCAAAACTTGTGCTTTCGCAAAGGTGGTCAGTGATGATTACTTTGAGTACTTTTGATTAGCAACACAGTGCTCTTAATTATCCTCTTAACTCCTATGGAAACGGTAAAGGTTTACTTAGTTTTCACATGACTCTCAAACTGTCCATCACTATAATGCAATGCTATCACCACAAAGTTTCCACAAGTAAACATGTAATTTTTTATTTGGTTTTGGTTGGCCGGGAGTCCCTGGCATTTAACCAGTAATTTATTGTGTAGTCTGCAACGTCGTACCACAAAAATGTTTGACTCTGTGATTGAAACTGAAATGCTCAAAAGACAAAAATATCGTGTTTCACTTTATGGCTGACTTATTTTCCCTGTCTTTTTTCCCCTTTTCTGAATTGATCAGGATGGGAGCTTCAGACAACATCTACAAAGGCCGCAGTACATTCATGGAAGAGCTGACAGAGGCCTCAGACATAATTTCCCGTGCGACCAAGCAGTCATTGGTCATCCTTGATGAATTGGGACGGGGCACAAGCACCCATGATGGAATTGCCATCGCCTATGCCACCCTGGAATATTTCATCAAAGATGTAAGTGTGTGCAATGTAAGCACTACAACGATGGCATTTAAATAAAACAATTAAATTAATGAATGTGGAAATGAAAATTAGAAGAGCAATCAGTAAAAAAAGCATAGGCAGGCTACCTGGGCTTGGTAACCATAGAGATATCTTTAAACATGTGCCAATTAATCCTTTTCATAAATCCACAAACATTGTGGGATCTTGATACCAGCCTACTTAATCATAAAGGTAATTGCCTTTGGTAAAGGGTGTGTGTGTGTGTGTGTGTGTGTGTGTGTGTGTGTGTGTGTGTGTCCGTCCATTTGTTTGCATACAATTATTTGATTGCATATACTTGATGGTGCTGCAGACATCCTTGAGTGTTTGTTTTAGAGTGAGATAATCCAGCAGAAAGGACTAAGACTGCTACCATGTTTCCATATCAAGTTCAATGTATAAAAGTCTTGACAGGAAACGGTTATTTGCAAATAATTTAAGTGTAAATTCTACAGACACATTTATAATTTATTTATTATAAATACATGGATCAAATATTTGTTGGAGCATGTCTCTAAAATCGTAAACCTTATCTAAAATCCTTCTGGATTTCTCTTCAGGGTCATCTTATTGGCCAGCTTTGAGCTTTTATTTTTAGATCACTCCCTTGCACTGTGCCCACTGCAATTTCACTACAGACCTCAAATTTGGGCAACGAACAAACATCAACTTCTGTTTCAAACTCACCCAAACGTTGTTAGAAGAGTCACTGCTGATTATGACAGCTGAGTCTCCAGATACCGCTGAGCAGTTTTCAAAAGGAACAGCATGGGACATCTACTCAGTGACCTAAAAATTACACCTACACTGAAAATGATCCAGAGAGGCACCAGAAGGTGATCTCGAAGGAGACGAACACAAAGATTGCCTAACTTGACTGTGTACAAAAACAAAAAAGAAAGTTTCCTAAGCTGTTTTCCCGTTCTCGTACGTACCACAGTCTTATGTCAGACCTGTTCTGACTGCCGGAAATATTCTGTTTGGTTTATTTAGGGGCTCTGCTTGGGCAGAGCGAGTAGGAGTCAGACACATTATGCCCACTTGTTGCTGTAAATTCACCAGTGCTACTCCCATGTGTATCACACAGGCTTAAAAACCATAAAACGTCTGATGTCATCAGACATTAGGGTTGCACCTCCATTAGGTAATGTCTAAAGAATCTGGAGAAATCTCAGTATGCAAGAGACAAGGCTGAAAATATGGTGTCTAAATAATTAGTAAGTCATTACGTTATGTTTTTATTTATATATTGCGCAGCATGCCAGGGTATTTTGGACTTGCTGCTGCTATCCTAATAGACAGGAGGACATAATGGAAAAAGAAATGAGAGGAGGCACATGGAGGACTGCTTCATGACTTATGTTGCAGTGCAGCATCCTAAAATGCTGACATAATTAAAGCTGATGATACGCTGTCCATTGTCCACCGTTGTGCTTGGACATAATTGTGGCCAAATCCGCTCTCACCTCCTGTCAGCGTTCATTAAACTGGCGTGGACAGAAGTTAGAAAAGTCTAATTTTAGCCAAAGGCAGGAGAAGAGTGGCTCACACGCAATGGTTCGCTAAAGAGGGTAGACGGGGCAGCAGATACGTGCTGTTTCACCTCTGAATACCTGGAATGAGTGTTTGGATGAGAGACTGCCCGTGCGCATGTGTGTGTGCTCTGCTGGGATTATGTGAACTGGCGCAGTCAGGAGCCCTCGGGATGTTGCACAGTGTTGCGTATCTTTATTTTGGCAGGACAGATGAGCGGCACTTTGAGGGGGATGGGGGTTGTGTTATTGTTAACTGAAATTGCCAAGTCAAATAAAGTCAGTGTATCTGTAATTTTCAAGTTTTTGCTGAATTAATGGATCGTTATTGTCAGCACAGAAAAGTCATTATGACTGCTTGACACAGGCTGAGTGCTTGAGGTTGTGGCATCAGTTTGGACACAGCTGTTTGTCTTCACAGCTGTTTACGCTCGCAGTATTTTCCATCGTATAACAGACTAAAGAAAGAAATCAGGCTTCCTTTGTTCTTACTCCATGTTTTCTGATTCCATTTTAGTTTGGAATTACTCCTCTGATGTTGGATATTTTGTCAAACGGGTCAACTGAGTTGGCCAAATTGTTTCAGGTCATGTGAAAGATGTTGCTGTAGAACAACCCAGCACTGATATTATTCGATGCTGCAGCTCCCTGGGGCTTCTTAGTCTGTTTTAAATTTTAGTTTTGGTTTTTGGGCTGGCACGCTCCTCTCTTATGAAACCTTTTTCTAGCAGAAAGAAGCAAGCGCTCTCTGCTGATCTTTCGGCAAGCGAATACTGTTTTTTTCTGACACATTGACCAGGCACCAAACAGCACAGTGACCAAGTTAATTATCTCGTGGGTAAAAAATAATAAAACATTTTCTATAGCAACAAAAACAAATAGTTATCTGAAAACCACGTTATCCCCTTTTAGAATGCCATCCATGTCAAATTTGGGTGTGCAGCAAACAAAAGTAGTGTGGTTATAGCAGTAATAGTAATAGACAGTGAGTATGTCACCTTTCTTACCATTTATGTTGTATTTCTAAATGTTTGATAAACAAATGGCTCTCAATCAATGCCTGATTAAACACAAAAATCAAAACTGGTTGAAAATAAGTTTATCACAGTGCTGGTGATAAGAAAATGCCCAAAGTCACTGAAGCTGATACACAGGCAATTCTGTAGTTTGCAGAAAACACACAAAAAAGACAAAAACTAAAAGAAACTACAAGAAGCTAACAGACTTAGCATACACACTGCAGAGGTTTGTGTTTTTAGCAGTTGGTTGTGCGTGTTAGTGCCCTCCAGGCTCCAGCTTCTCTGGAGAGAAAGGAGTTATCAACTCAGATGGTCTACGTTGACCTTAGGGAGCATGCATTTAATCTCACACTTGAGGCACATTGTTTTGCAGGCTGTTGTGGATACCCACAACGCCAGATGTTAAGCTGACAGTCAATGGACTACGCAAGCCACAGATTCTGAATTTGGGTCTCTTCAAGTCCCAGGGTGCAGCTCCCACTTTATTCCACTGTGACAGATATTATCAATGGGTTTCTGGAGTTCTGCTTAGTGCTAATCAAAGCTTACAAACTGTAAGCAGCCTGTGAGAGCCTGAGTTTTGATTCTGATTTATTTCTGTTTTTCCAAAATTCGAGTCCAAATGCTTCAAATTGGATTGAGTTAACCTTGTTCAAATATAGATGAATAAACATTTATCTTTGAAAAACTCTATCCGAGTTTCATTTTTTGCCAGTTCCACATCAATCTTTGGACAGAGTCTTGGGGTTATGTAATTCTGCTGGAAAACGTAGAATGAAAATGTTTAAGTAGCACCTAATGCAGCAGGGAGATGCTGATGGCACAAGAAAGGGAGCTCTCTGACTACCTTTTGTATAACAGCATTGATTTGTTAGAAAAGCCTTGCTATTAAAGGAAAGGCAAACAAAAGGGCACAAAAGAAGTTAAGCTTTTGCAGCAAAAGGCCTCTTTAGCACAGGCAGACATGCAGAGCCTTTCATGCCGACTCCTCTACCTCCTACTCATCCTCCTCTGCTCCGTCCCCCTCCTCAACAGACTCAGCTGTTCACGTCAAAAGTCAGACAACTCCTCCTTTGACTTGGTTGTTATAGTAACACACCTTTTCCTGTCCCCAACATTCACCTGAGAGCTGGTTAAGAATGTAGATGGGTTTCATAACTTCACTCAATAATAGAGGCAGCCTTGATGCAGAAAGAGAAAAATAAACTGGTAAGCTGAAGGGAAAAGACTTCTAAAACTAGAGGTTGCTTCTCCTCAAAATCTCTGGGTTTCACGTTGATGTCCATCCTCTTCTTAAGCCGTTGTGGACTCTTAATCACAATAACAGAATGTCCTGTTTTTGGCTCTACACAAAGTTTAACACTGCACATTGCTCCTTACTCGGTTTGCATGTGACTGCCCTTGTGTTGTAACTTTACACTATAATAGCAGAGAGAAGCAAGTCCAGCTTTGTGGAGAAGTAGAACTCGCAAAAGCTCACTTTTGGCTGCACACTAATGAGTAAATTTTCAGTGCAATGTACTGTATCACTCATGTGGGCGTAAAATAGTCTGATGTGCTCATGCTGATGCACAGAGCTCCTACAAAGACCCAAATGTGCTCCACAGCACTCTGCCCTGCGCTATGCTTGCACTTCACTCATACACATGAATAAAATTCTGTTCTCTTGTCTCTCAGTACACAGTAATTCCATTACTTTCTCAAAATTTCAAGTTGTGACTTATTTGACTGCACGACTTGTATTCAGAGTGTCACTCTTTTGTGTATATTGTATAGAAACAGGCTTCCGAGCATGTGGTTCAGAACCCAAGAACAGTATCTCAGGATAAAAACCAAAAGAGATGAGAAACAAACTGTGATATTAAGAGTATATAAAATTAGTGTGAACTTTTCTGAATAAAATACTAAATCGTTTTACTTCTTGGGACATCTGAAAATGCTCCAGATGAAAAATTAATTTCGTTAAACCACCCGCAACATGCATACACACTACTGGCATTAATGAGGGGTCACAAGTCGTGTTCAGCATTGTGAACCACTACCTCAGAGCAAGGATCTGTCCTGACTGAATATAATCTGCTAAAAGTTTCTTCCTCTTAAAAGGAAGTTTTTCCTTCCCACTATTGCTAAGTGCTCATATAGGTTGTCTGATTGTTGTTGTTTTTTTTCCTGTATTAAGGTCTTTAAGGTATGTAAAGTCCTTACCTTAAAAAAAGTGCCATGTTGTGATTTGGAGCTCAGTTTAAATTAAAACTCTGCCATGCAAAAAGTGTTATAGCGCTAGTGTCCTTAGATACAAGACTGAAGTTTAGACTTTGAGGTCTGTTAAGAACATATATTTAGCATTTACTTATTTACTTCACTTGTTATGGTGATATTAAATTGGCCATAAAGTCATCTGAAAAAGAAACTCTGGAAA